TAAAACTTTTCTTAGGTTGTTTGTCGTATGTAGGATGTTTATGTGGTCGAGTGTTTGTCTTTTCTACACGCTCTTGCTTTAATCTTACCAACTGGAGACAGATGGTGCAAAGTCGACAGGTGGTGCAAGATGGCGTCGGTCTGGAGAAGACTGTCTGCAGCATCGCAATATCTAGTGGTTGAAATCATAACCATAATTTTTTAAGGGGTGGACTGGTACGCCAGTGGAAGGCCTCGGTCAGATGACCAAAAGCCCCAACTGCGAGTCGTCTCATGACTAAGATCCGCGTCAGGAAACACTTGTCCTGTTTCCTGACAAACCTTACCTAACCTAACCTGTCCGCACACGAAACTTCTCAGTAAAGTCCCTCTCTGCATTAGTGTCTTTTCCAGTAACTTAGTTAACCAGAACAACGAACAAATGCAGGTTTTCTTCCAGTCTCCCATTCGTTGATGTCAGGATGACAATTATTTTCTTTCATTAAGGTCAGTTTTCTTCTCCTGAACAAGTTGAAAATAGATCACCTACTTCTTTTAACCAAAGTTGATAAGGAAAAAAATATATTTGTCGTAATAATTCACTCTCAGAACATTTTTTAAACAAATTTGAGCCGATGTTGACCAGTGGGTCACCCACCGCTACTCTGTTGCTTTGCTTCCAGAATGTGTCCTTAACTGATGAGACATTATCCGAACACATTCTTGTTAAATCAGTAAATTTATTTACGCGAAGATACACTATGCTCTACCTACAACCACGGCTTTCACCACTGACCAGGTACAAGGAGCATACTCCCTCTGACCCTACTATGCAGGGATAGAACATGACCAGCTATAAGGGAGTATAATTTTCCTCATCCTGAGGCCCCAGGAAAGATACCCAAAAGTTATTTACATCAGTGAATATTATATATATATATATATATATATATATATATATATATATATATATATATATATATATATATATATATATATATATATATATATATAGTTGGTAGACAGCAACCAACCAGGGAGGTACTACCGTCCTGCCAAGTGAATGTAAAACAAAAGCCTGTAATTGTTTTACATGATGGTAGGATTGCTGGTGTTTTTTGTCTGTCTCATAAATATGCAAGATTACAGGTATGTCTTGCTACTTCTACTTACACTTAGGTCACACTACACATACATGTACACGTTTATTTATACACACTCATCTGAGTTTTCTTTGATTTTATCTTAATAGTTCTTGGGCTTATTACTTTTCCTTTTATATCCATGGGGAAGTGGAATAAGAATCTTTCCTCCGTAAGCCATGTGTGTTGTAAAAGTCAACTAATATGCCGGGAACAATGGGCTAGTAACCCCTTTTCCTGAAAAGATTACTAAAAAGAATAAGAAGAAGAAAATTGTCAAAGTGGGAAGTCTGAATGTGCGTGGATGTTGTGCAAATGATAAGAAAGAGATGATTGTGGATGTTATGAATGAGAAGAAACTGGATGTCCTGGCTTTAAGTGAAACAAAGCTGAAGGGGGTGGGAGAGTTTCAATGGAGAGGAATAAATGGGATTAGGTCAGGGGTTTCAAATAGAGTTAGAGCTAAAGAAGGAGTAGCAATAATGTTGAAGGATAAGCTACGGCAGGAAAAGAGGGACTATAAATGTATTAATTCAAGGATTATGTGGAGTAAAATAAAGGTTGGATGTGAAAAGTGGGTTTTAGTAAGTGTATATGCACCTGGAGAAGAGAGAAGTGTAGAGGAGAGAGAGAGATTTTGGGAAATGTTGAGTGAATACGTGGGGAGTTTTGAACCAAGTGTGAGGGTAATGGTGGTTGGGGATTTCAATGCTAAAGTGGGAAAAAATGTTGTGGAGGGAGTAGTAGGTAAATTTGGGGTGCCAGGGGCAAATGTAAATGGGGAGCCTTTAATTGAGCTATGTGTAGAAAGAGGTTTGGTAATAAGTAATACATATTTTATGAAAAAGAGGATAAATAAATATACAAGGTATGATGTAGCACGTAATGAAAGTAGTTTGTTAGATTATGTATTGGTGGATAAAAGGTTGATGGGTAGGCTCCAGGATGTACATGTTTATAGAGGGGCAACTGATATATCGGATCATTATTTAGTTGTAGCTACAGTTAGAATAAGAGGTAGATGGGACAAGAGGAAGGTGGCAACAACAAGTAGGAGGGAAGTGAAAGTGTATAAACTAAGGGAGGAGGAAGTTCGGGTGAGATATAAGCGACTATTGGCAGAAAGGTGGGCTAGTGCAAAGATGAGTAGTGGGGGGGGGAGTTGAAGAGGGTTGGAATAGTTTTAAAAATGCAGTATTAGAATGTGGGGCAGAAGTTTGTGGTTATAGGAGGGTGGGTGCAGGAGGAAAGAGGAGTGATTGGTGGAATGATGAAGTAAAGGGTGTGATAAAAGAGAAAAAGTTAGCTTATGAGAGGTTTTTACAAAGCAGAAGCGTTATAAGAAGAGCAGAGTATATGGAGAGTAAAAGAAAGGTGAAGAGAGTGGTGAGCGAGTGCAAAAGGAGAGCAGATGATAGAGTGGGAGAGGCACTGTCAAGAAATTTTAATGAAAATAAGAAAAAATTTTGGAGTGAGTTAAACATGTTAAGAAAGCCTAGGGAACGTATGGATTTGTCAGTTAAAAACAGAGTAGAGGAGTTAGTAGATGAGGAGAGGGAGGTATTAGGTAGATGGCGAGAATATTTTGAGGAACTTTTAATTGTTGAGGAAGAAAGTGAGGCGGTAATTTCATGCACTGGCCAGGGAGGTATACCATCTTTTAGGAGTGAAGAAGAGCAGAATGTAAGTGTGGGGGAGGTACGTGAGGCATTACGTAGACTGAAAGGGGATAAAGCAGCTGGAACTGATGGGATCATGACAGAAATGTTAAAAGCAGGGCGGGATATAGTATTGGAGTGGTTGGTACTATTGTTTAATAAATGTATGAAAGAGGGGAAGGTACCTAGGGATTGGCGGAGAGCATGTATAGTCCCTTTATATAAAGGGAAGGGGGACAAAAGAGATTGTAAAAATTATAGAGGAATAAGTTTATTGAGTATACCAGGAAAAGTGTACGGTAGAGTTATTGTTGAAAGAATTAGAGGTAAGACAGAATGTAGGATTGTGGATGAGCAAGGAAGTTTCAGAGTGGGTAGGGGATGTGTAGATCAAGTGTTTACATTGAAGCATATATGTGAACAGTATTTAGATAAAGGTAGGGAAGCTTTTACTGCATTTATGGATTTAGAAAAGGCATATGATAGAGTGGATAGGGGAGCAATGTGGCAGATGTTGCAAGTATATGGAATAGGTGGTAAGTTACTAAATGCTGTAAAGAGTTTTTATGAGGATAGTGAGGCTCAGGTTAGGGTGTGTAGAAGAGAGGGAGAATACTTCCCGGTAAAAGTAGGTCTTAGATAGGGATGTGTAATGTCACCATGGTTGTTTAATATATTTATAGATGGGGTTGTAAAAGAAGTGAATGCTAGGGTGTTCGGGAGAGGGGTGGGATTAAATTATGGGGAATCAAATACAAAATGGGAATTGACACAGTTGCTTTTTGCTGATGATACTGTGCGTATGGGAGATTCTAAAGAAAAATTGCAAAAGTTAGTGGATGAGTTTGGGAGTGTGTGTAAAGGTAGAAAGTTGAAAGTGAACATGGAAAAGAGTAAGGTGATGAGGGTGTCAAATGATTTAGATAAAAAAAATTGGATATCAAATTGGGGAGGAGTATGGAAGAAGTAAATGTTTTCAGATACTTGGGAGTTGACGTGTCGGCGGATGGATTTATGAAGGATGAGGTTAATCATAGAATTGATGAGGGAAAAAAGGTGAGTGGTGCATTGAGGTATATGTGGAGTCAAAAAACGTTATCTATGGAGGCAAAGAAGGGAATGTATGAAAGTATAGTAGTACCAACACTCTTATATGGGTGTGAAGCTTGGGTTGTGAATGCAGCAGCGAGGAGGCGGTTGGAGGCAGTGGAGATGTCCTGTCTAAGGGCAATGTGTGGTGTAAATATTATGCAGAAAATTCGGAGTGTGGAAATTAGGAGAAAGTGTGGAGTTTATAAAAGTATTAGTCAGAGGGCAGAAGAGGGGTTGTTGAGGTGGTTTGGTCATTTAGAGAGAATGGATCAAAGTAGAATGACATGGAGAGCATTTAAATCTGTAGGAGAAGGAAGGAAGGGTAGGGGTCGTCCTCGAAAAGGTTGGAAGGAAGGGGTAAGGGAGGTTTTGTGGGCGAGGGGCTTGGACTTCCAGCAGGCGTGTATGAGCATGTTCGATAGGAGTGAATGGAGACGAATGGTATTTGGGACCTGACGATCTGTTGGAGTGTGAGCAGGGTAATATTTAGTGAAGGGATTCAGGGAAACCGGTTATTTTCATATAGCCGGACTTGAGTCCTGGAAATGAGAAGTACAATGCCTGCACTTTAAAGGAGGGGTTTTGGGATATTGGCAGTTTGGTGGGATATGTTGTGTTGTGAGCACCTCTGCAAAAACAGTGATTATGTGTGAGTGAGGTGAAAGTGTTGAATGATGAAAGTATTTTCTTTTTGGGGATTTTCTTTCTTTTTGGGTCACCCTGCCGGGTCACGGCCGACTTGTTGAAAAAAAAAATCTTCATAAGTTATATTTCTTCTGGGTATGGTATAAAACATCGCGAACGCTGGTAATTCTCACATACCAACGATCTCGAGGTTTGTTGATCAAAATCGTTTAAACTTCCATAGCCACTAAACTCCTAGTGGAACGCTTGACGTTATCCTTACTGCCCTACCGAAGTCTACCAGCTCAGGATGACACATTTCAATACCTAGAATACATGCAAATTGACGGGAAAACACAGTTACGTTTTATTCGCATTATGGAACAATGATATATAGTAGCTACACACCGCGGGTGTTCCCACAATATATCCCCTCTTATAAAGTAGGGGGGAGTGCACTACTGAGATAGCCAATATTGTTTAATAACACACACAAAAGTACTCACACTTGACTCTGAGGAGTTGAGGGTTGGAGTGACCGTCTCCCTGAATGTTTGAAGCCACGCAGGAGTACTGACCTGAAGCTGCACGACTCACTCTCTGCAACACCAGGCTCTGGTTGCTCATGATCACTCCTGCTGACACGTTGTGGTGAAGCTCCTGGCCCTGCACTGCCAATTTTTTCCCCCGATCCTCTGTACTCAAATCTCTTACAGACTTTCCATGCCACTAACTCCTTCCGACCTACTTTCTTTCTGCCTCCATTCCGCCTCCTTCCATTCATCCGCTCTTCCCCGTTTCTTCCCGCCTCCTTCCCAGCTCTTCCCCGCTTCTCCCATATATCCCCCCCTCCTTCCGTCGCTTCACTCGCTCCTATATTCCCCGCTCCTTAAGCGCTTCTCCCCCAGCTTCTCCCCGCCTCCTCCCCGCTTTCCCCTTCCCCGCCTCCTGTCTTTCCCGCATTCCTTCCCGCCCCCTTTCCCTGCTTCCTTCACCCGCTCTTCCCCGTTCCTTCTCCGCTCCTTCCCGCTTCCTTAAGCGCTCTCTCCCCGCCTTCTTTTCCCCGCCTCCTTCCCCGCCTCCTCCCCGCTTCCTTCCCGCCTCCTTCCCGTTTCTTCTTTCCTTCCGCCTTTCCTTCCCCGCCTCCTTCCCCGTTCCTTCCCCGCCTCCTTCCCCGCCTCCTTCCCCCCTCCTTCCCCGCCTTCCTTCCCCCGCTTCCTTCCCCGCCTCCTTCAGCGCTTCTTTCCCCGCCTTTCCTTTCCCCGCCTCCTTCCCCCCCTTCCTTCCCCGCCTCCTTCAGCGCTTCTTTCCCCCGCCTTCTTCCCCGCCTCCCCCTCCCCGCCTCCTTCCCCGCTTCCTTCCCCGCCTCCTTCCCCGCTTCCTTCCCCGCCTCCTTCCCGCTCCTTCCCCCCCTTCCCTTCCCCGCCTTCCTTCCCCGCCTCCTTCCCCGCTTCCTTCCCCGCCTCCTTCCAGCGCTTCCTTTCCCCGCCTTCTTCCCGCCCTTCCTTCCCCGCTTCCTTCCCCGCCTCCTTCCCCTCTTCCCGCCTCCTTCCCCGCCTCCTTCCCCGCCTCCTTCCCCGCCTCCTTCAGCGCTTCTTTCCCCGCCTTCTTCCCCGCCTCCTTTCCCCGCCTCCTTCCCCGCCTTCCTTCCCCGCCTCCTTCAGCGCTTCTTTCCCCGCCTTCTTCCCCGCTCCTTCCCCGCCTCCTTCCCCGCCTCCTTCCCCGCCTCCTTCGCTCCTTCCCGCCTCCTTCCCCGCCTCCTTTCCCCGCCTCCTTCCCGCTTTCCTTCCCCGCTTCCTTCCCCGCCTCCTTCACCTTCTTCCCCGCCTCCTTCCCTGCTTCCTTCCCCGCCTCCTTCCCCGCTTCCTTCCCCGCCTCCTTCAGCGCTTCTTTCCCCGCCTTCTTCCCCGCCTCCTTCCCCGCCTCCTTCCCCGCTTCCTTCCCCGCCTCCTTCAGCGCTTCTTTCCCCGCCTTCTTCCCCGCCTCCTTCCCCGCTTCCTTCCCCGCTCCTTCGCTCTCTTTCCCCGCCTCTTCCCCGCCTCCTTCCCCCCTCCTTCCCTCTTTCCCGCCTCCTTCTTCCCCGCCTCCTTCCCCGCATCCTTCAGCTTCTTTCCCCGCCTTCCTTCCCCGCCTCCTTCCCCGCCTCCTTCCCCCCGCCTTTCCCCGCTCCTTTCCCCGCTCCTCCCCGCCCTCCTTCAGCGCTTCTTTCCCCGCCTCCTTCCCTGCTTCCTTCCCCCGCCTTTCCTTCCCCGCTTCCCCTTCCCCGCCTCCTTCAGCGCTTCTTTCCCCGCCTTCTTCCCCGCCTCCTTCCCCGCCTCCTTCCCCGCTTCTTTCCCCCGCCCTTCGCCTCTTCCCAGCCTTTCCCCGCCTCCTCCCCGCTCCTTCCCCGCCTTCTTCCCGCCTCCTTCCCCCCCGCCCCTTCCTTCCCCGCTTCCTCCCGCTTCTTCCCCGCCTTCCTTCCCCGCCTCCTCAGCCTTTCCCGCCTCTCCCGCTTCTCCCGCGCTCCTTCAGCTTCTTTCCCCGGCCCTTCTTCCCCGTCCTTCCCCGCCTCCTTCCCCGCCTCCTTCCCCGCCTTCCTTCCCCGCCTCCTTCCCCGCCTCCTTCCCCGCTTCCTTCCCCGCCTCCTTCAGCGCTTCTTTCCCCGCCTTCTTTTCCCCGCCTTCCTTCCCCGCCTCCTTCCCCGCTTCCTTCCCGCCTCTTCAGCGCTTCTTTTCCCCCGCCTTCTTCCCCGCCTCCTTCCCCCTTCCTTCCCCGCCTCCTTCAGCTCTTCTTTCCCCGCCTTCTTCCCCGCCTCCTTCCCCGCCTCCTTCAGCGCTTCTTCCCCGCCTTCTCTCCCGCCTCCTTCCCCCCTCCTCCCCGCCTTCCTTCCGCCTCCCCGCCTTCTTCCCCGCCTCCTCCCCGCCTCCTTCCCCGCCTCCTTCCCCGCCTCCTTCCCCGCCTCCTTCCCCGCCTCCTTCCCCCCCCGCCTCCTTCCCCCCTCCTTTCCCGCCTTCCTTCCCCGCTTCCTTCCCCGCTTCCTTCCCCGCCTCCTTCAGCCGCTTCTTTCCCCGCCTCCTTCCCTGCTTCTTCCCCGCCTCCTTCCCCGCTCCTTCCCCGCCTCCTTCAGCGCTTCTTTCCCCCCCTTTCCTTCCTCCCCGCCTCCTTCCCCGCCTCTCTCCCCGCTTCCTTCCCCGCCTCCTTCAGCGCTTCTTTCCCCGCCTTCTTCCCCGCCTCCTTCCCCGCTTCCTTCCCCGCTTCCTTCAGCTCTTCTTTCCCCGCCTTCTTCCCCGCCTCCTTCCCCGCCTCCTTCCCCGCCTCCTTCAGCGCTTCTTTCCCCGCCTTCTTCCCCGCCTCCTTCCCCGCCTCCTTCAGCGCTTCTTTCCCCGCCTTCTTCCCCGCCTCCTTCCCCGCCTTCTTCCCCGCCTATTTCCCCGCTTCCTTTCCCGCTTCCTTCCCCGCCTCCTTCAGCGCTTCTTTCCCCGCCTCCTTCCCTGCTTCCTTCCCCGCCTCCTTCCCTGCTTCCTTCCCCGCCTCCTTCCCCGCTTCCTTCCCCGCCTCTTTCGCGCTTCTTTCCCCGCCTCCTCCACCGCCTTTCCTTCCCCGCCTCCTTCCCCGCCTCCTTCAGCGCTTCTTTCCCCCGCCTTCTTCCCCGCCTCCTTCCCGCCCTTCCCGCCTCCTTCCCCGCCTCCTTCCCCGCCTCTTCCCCGCCTCCTTCCCCGCCTCCTTTCCCCGCTTCCTTCCCCGCTTCCTTCCCCGCTCCTTCCCCGCCTCCTTCGCGCTTCTTTCCCCGCTCCTTCCCTGCTTCCTTCCCCGCCTCCTTCCCCGTTTCCTTCCCCGCCTCCTTCAGCGCCTTCCTTTCCCCCTCTTCCCGCCTCCTTTTCCCCGCCTCCTTCCCCGCTTCCTTCCCCGCCCCTCAGCGCTTCTTCCCGCCTTCTTTCCCCGCTCCTTCAGCGCTTCTTTCCCCCCCTTTCCTTCCCCGCCTCCTTTCCCGCCTCCTTCTCCCGCCTCCTTCTCCGCCTCCTTCCCGCCTCCTTCCCGCCTTCTTCCATGCCTTCTTCCCCGCCTCCTTCCCCGCTCCTTCCCGCCTCCTTAGCGCTTCTTTCCCCCGCTCCTTCCCCGCCTCCTTTCCGCCTCTTTCCCCCGCTCCTTCCTGCCTCCTACCCCGCCTCCTTCCCTGCCTTTCCTCCGCCTCCTTCCCTGCTCCTCCCAGCTCCTTCAGCGCTTCTTTCCACCGCCTTCTTTCCCGCCTCTTTCCCGCCTCCTTTCCCCATCCTTTTCCCGCTCTTCCCCTCCTCTTCCGCCTCCTTTCCCGCCTCCTTCCCCGCCTCCTTTCCGCCTCCTTCCCCGCCTCCGCTAAAAAGCTTGATGCCAGGACAACATGCAAGATCTAAAGTCACTTAACAAGCTTTACATTGGAAACAAAGAAACATTGCCACATATCCTCTGGTCCCTTGTGGCAGTGTTGAGTCACCAGACCATGGTGCTTGTACCATGGTGCTTGTACTATGGTGCTTGTACCATGGTGCTTGTACCATGGTGCTTGTACCATGGTTTTCACGGTGCTTGTACCATGGTTTTCACGATGCTTGTACCATGGTTTTCACGATGCTTGTACCATTGTGCTTGTACCATGGCTTTCACGGTGCTTGTACCATGGTGCTCTTACCATGGGTTTCATGGTGCTTGTACCATGGTTTTCACGGTGCTTGTACCATGGTTTTCACGATGCTTGTACCATGGTTTTCACGATGCTTGTACCATGGTTTTCACGATGCTTGTACCATTGTGCTTGTACAGGCTTTACGGTGCTTGACCATGGTTGTCTTACCATGGGTTTCACGGTGCTTGTACCATGAGTTTCACGGTGCTTGTGCCATGGTTTTCACGGTGCTTGTACCATGGTTTTCACGGTGCTTGTGCCATGGTTTTCACGGTGCTTGTGCCATGGTTTTCACGGTGCTTGTACCATGGTTTTCACTGTGCTTGTGCCATGGTTTTCACGGTGCTTGTACCATGGTTTTCACGGTGCTTGTACCATGGTTTTCACGGTGCTTGTGCCATGGTTTTCACGGTGCTTGTACCATGGGTTTCACGGTGCTTGTACCATGGTTTTTCACGGTGCTTGTACCATGGGTTTCACGGGCTTGTACCATGGTTTTCACGGTGCTTGTACCATGGGTTTCACGGTGCTTGTACCATGGGTTTCACGGTGCTTGTACCATGGTTTTCACGGTGCTTGTGCCATGGTTTTCACGGTGCTTGTACCATGGTTTTCACGGTGCTTGTGCCATGGTTTTCACGGTGCTTGTGCCATGGTTTTCACGGTGCTTGGCCATGGTTTTTCCGGTGCTTGTACCATGGTTTTCACGGTGCTTGTACCATGGTTTTCACTGTGCTTGTGCCATGGTTTTCACGGTGCTTGTACCATGGTTTTCACGGTGCTTGTACCATGGTTTTCACGGTGCTTGTGCCATGGTTTTCACGGTGCTTGTGCCATGGTTTTCACGGTGTTTGTGCCATGGTTTTCACGGTGCTTGTACCATGGTTTTCACGGTGCTTGTACCATGGTTTTCACGGTGCTTGTGCCATGGTTTTCACGGTGCTTGTACCATGGTTTTCACGGTGCTTGTGCCATGGTTTTCACGGTGCTTGTACCATGGGTTTTCACGGTGCTTGTTCCATGGTTTTCACGGTGCTTGTCCATGGTTTTCCACGGTGCTTGTACCATGGGTTTCACGGTGCTTGTACCATGGGTTTCACGGTGCTTGTACCATGGTTTTCACGGTGCTTGTACCATGGTTTTCAAGGTGCTTGTACCATGGGTTTCACGGTGCTTGTACCATGGTTTTCACGGTGCTTGTACCATGGTTTTCACGGTGCTTGTACCATGGGTTTCACGGTGCTTGTGCCATGGTTTTCACGGTGCTTGTGCCATGGTTTTCACGGTGCTTGTACCATGGGTTTCACGGTGCTTGTACCATGGTTTTCACGGTGCTTGTACCATGGGTTTCACGGTGCTTGTACCATGGGTTTCACGGTGCTTGTACCATGGGTTTCACGGTGCTTGTACCATGGTTTTCACGGTGCTTGTACCATGGTTTTCACGGTGCTTGTACCATGGTTTTCACGGTGCTTGTACCATGGTTTTCACGGTGCTTGTGCCATGGTTTTCACGGTGCTTGTACCATGGTTTTCACGGTGCTTGTGCAATGGTTTTCACGGTGCTTGTACCATGGTTTTCACGGTGCTTGTGCCATGGTTTTCACGGTGCTTGTGCCATGGTTTTCACGGTGCTTGTACCATGGGTTTCACGGTGCTTGTACAATGGGTTTCACGGTGCTTGTACCATGGGTTTCACGGTGCTTGTACCATGGTTTTCACGGTGCTTGTACTATGGGTTTCACGGTGCTTGTACCATGGGTTTCACGGTGCTTGTACCATGGTTTTCACGGTGCTTGTACCATGGTTTTCACGGTGTTTGTGCCATGGTTTTCACGGTGCTTGTACCATGGTTTTCACGGTGTTGTGCCATGGTTTTCACGGTGTTTGTGCCATGGTTTTCACGGTGCTTGTACCATGGTTTTCACGGTGTTTGTGCCATGGTTTTCACGGTGTTTGTGCCATGGTTTTCACGGTGCTTGTACCATGGTTTTCACGGTGTTTGTGCCATGGTTTTCCCACGGTTTGTGCCATGGATTTCACGGTGTTGTGCCAATGGTTTTCACGGTGCTTGTACCATGGTTTTCACGGTGTTTGTGCCATGGTTTTCACGGTGCTTGTACCATGGTTTTCACGGTGCTTGTGCCATGGTTTTCACGGTGTTTGTGCCATGGTTTTCACGGTGTTTGTGCCATGGTTTTCACGGTGTTTGTGCCATGGTTTTCACGGTGTTTGTGCCATGGTTTTCACGGTGTTTGTACCATGGGTTTTCACGGTGCTTGTACCAGGGGTTTTCACGGTGCTTGTACCAGGGTTTTTTCACGGTGCTTGTACCATGGGTTTCACGGTGCTTGTACCATGGTTTTCACGGTGCTTGTACCATGGTTTTCACGGTGCTTGTACCATGGTTTTCACGGTGCTTGTACCATGGTTTTCACGGTGCTTGTACCATGGTTTTCACGGTGCTTGTGCCATGGTTTTCACGGTGCTTGTACCATGGGTTTCACGGTGCTTGTACCATGGTTTTCACGGTGCTTGTACCATGGTTTTCACGGTGCTTGTACCATGGTTTTCACGGTGCTTGTACCATCGTTTTCACGATGCTTGTACCATGGTTTTCACGGTGCTTGTACCATGGTTTTCACGGTGCTTGTACCATGGTTTTCACGGTGCTTGTACCATGGGTTTTCACGGTGCTTGTACCATGGTTTCACGGTGCTTGTACCAGGGTTTTTTCACGGTGCTTGTACCATGGTTTTCAAGGTGCTTGTACCATGGTTTTCACCTTGCTTGTCCATGGGTTTCACGGTGCTTGTACCATGGTTTTCACGGTGCTTGTACCATGGTTTTCACGGTGCTTGTACCATGGGTTTCACGGTGCTTGTACCATGGTTTTCACGGTGCTTGTACCATGGGTTTCACGGTGCTTGTACCATGGGTTTTCACGGTGCTTGTACCAAGGGTTTCACGGTGCTTGTAACCATGGTTTTCACGGTGCTTGTACCATGGTTTTCACGGTGCTTGTACCATGGTTTTCACGGTGCTTGTACCATGGGTTTCACGGTGCTTGTACCATGGGTTTCACGGTGCTTGTACCATGGGTTTCACGGTGCTTGTACCATGGTTTTCACGGTGCTTGTACCATGGGTTTCACGGTGCTTGTACCATGGTTTTCACGGTGCTTGTACCATGGGTTTCACGGTGCTTGTTCGCCCAGTTATTACATGTGAAACAGTTTGCTTAATAAAATTTGCAAACTGAATTTTATGCAAATCAAGAGAATGTCAAGCTGTTTCTTAACCCACCAACGGTAAAAGTTTGAAACCGATCAGGAAAGGCATTCCCGAGTAACTTATCTAATTCCAGTGATTTAAAGTTGTTGCCGACTACTGCAAAATTTTATTTGCAGCACCTGGGACTAACCTTACGGGTTTATCATCCATCTTATAGAATGCTTCGTCGGTAATATTGAACCAGTCGGTAAGAATATTTACTATTAGGATACCGGGGCAGCAGCAGCGTGAACCTTGGTTCAGGAACTACACAGGTGAAAGTTTGAAGGCGATCAGACGAGTATTCTCCATTATGGCGCGATTGCAACAATTCCGAAATGTTAATTATTTTACTCAGTAAATTATCTTCACGGGGATGGGACTTGATAGTTCATCCTGGTCCAAGGATGCGTCAGTCGTTCATACCTCAATATAAGCGCCGTTCAGATTTAAACGATGTTACGAAATAATAAAAAATCCACTATTGTATACTAAACAGTCAAATCTGAACCTACAAATCTGAAATTCACTCCTCAACTTCGTGGCATTTTTTTTTTCACATGTTTTTAAGGTCTGAAGCACCGCCGCTGAGGGTTTTCGAAGTTATCGCATCCATCCCAGGATGCTGGGTAATGGGTTTAATAATTTTGGTCAAATGGCAGGTGAACATGCCAGTTGTGCCAAGAATCTGGTCTTCGTTACCGTGCACAAATGTGTTGCAAGTTTGAAGACGATTGAATGTGGCGTTCTCGAGTTATGAGCGAGATAAAATCGAAGAGTTGAAAGAAAAAAGAAAACGAAAAATTTCAGAAAACCTCTTAAAGGTCCCCTTTTGGGTATATAATAATAATAATAATATAATAATAATAATAATAATAATAATAATAATAATAATAATAATATTCTCTTTTTCATTTTGTTAACGTACCGGCCGTCTCCCACCGAGGCAGGGTGACCTGAAAAGAAAATGAAAGTTTTTATTTTTAAATTTAGTAATTTATACAGGAGAAGGGGTTACTAGCCCGTTGCTCCCGGCATTTTAGTCGCCTTTTACGACACGCATGGCTTAGGGAGGAAAATTCTGTCCCACTTCCCCATGGAGATTATTTTTATTATTATTATTATTATATTGACAGTAGTGTTGCAGGGCACTGACCTCGTGAATCCAGAAGAGCTTGTAGATGCTTGGGTTAGAGGTGATGTAGCAGACAAAATACACATCATCACCTTCCTTGATGTCACCCAGGTTGACTGAACGACCCGGCTCCAGCCTCGCCACCGGCAAGTCTGTCGAGACAGTTCTCTCAGCACACCTTTTAAATATCTTTAGTACTGCCGCGAAATACCTTCAGTATACCTTCATATCTCAACAGTATGCTTCGAAATATTTTCAGTATACATTGAAATGTCTTCAGTATACCTCTAAATACCTTCAGTATACCTTGAAACATCTCAGCATACCTTGAAACATCTCACTATACACTAAATGTCTCAGTATGCTTGAAGCCGTCTCACTATACTTTAAGATGTCATAGTATACTTTAGGACGTCTCAATATGCTTAAGATATCTCAATATACATTGATTAATATTTTTTCTTTATTTAAGCGACGTGGTAAGTGATAATCAGTTGCAAACAACATATCATATACCTCACATAACTGCAATGGTAAGAACCTCGTGTGCTACATTGGTGAGCATCGATATAACAAGTGTATATACACCGAGAGGTATATATCCGTCAATGATATACAAAAGTTTA